ATATACGTAATTAACTTCATGGGTCTCTCTAACGAGCGCAGTGTAATAAAAGGTTGCTTTTGACCGTACCCGCAATACGATGTGGTGGACGCGTCGAGTGCCGCAGACGGCTGCGTTTATTCCACAGTGCAATTATCTACCTTTGATGCGGGTGTCTGTAGCTAAATTAACACCGGCCAAGTGCACATTGAACCCATTTACTGCGGGTCTCGTAACTTATGTCACATAGTCACATGCAATGACCCTTATTTCAAATATTGAAAAAGGAACCTTGTTACTTACCTTAATACCTGTTTACGTTTGTTGTTGGAAGTTTGGTTCCATAATTTCTACCAAGTATACAAAACCGTATAAGTTTGAAGTATTTAGGCTTGAACTCTTTCGGTGACTAAGTGTTCTTTAAGTTAAGTTAAGTCTAAGTGTTAAACTATGCAACAAAATTTTAATAGAAATAGTTTAGAATGTTTAAAGAACATCCTTATCATGTTATACTTCACTTGACCTAGTTGCTCAACTTTCAGATTTAGGCCACCTATTTTGATAGAACTATAAATATTCCTAAGTTCTTTTACCTAGCGGGCAACCAACAACATAGCTAAGACTCATCCGTGACAGAGAAGGAAATCCTAATCTGACCATAAGGGATACTTTAAAACGTATGACTAGAAACTATAAAATATACTTTTAAACTTTCGCGTTGCATTGTACTAACATTTGGAAATGGGAATAAACGCGTTTACATACGAATAGGTATTTTTCACACCTACCTAGTTTCCTGACGTTTCGGCCAGGTTGCACTGGCCGTAGTCACGGGCTGACTGACGTCGGGAAACTAGGTGGGCGTGACAAATACCTATTCGTATGTAAACGCTTTTATTCCAGTTTCTTTAATGTTAGAAACTATAAAATCTATAAGATTCTGTATGACATAATATATAATTAAGGACTACCGAAACAACTAATATAAACGAAGTGCATTTGTCGGCGTCGTGTGGTGCAATCTGGTGTCACAACCGCCGTTATGACACTATTCGGCCAAACTTCCTCCTTCGTGAAGGTCCCCAGATGTTGGGTCGGCACTCTCATCACAAAGGAATTAAAATTGACATTGTGGCAATTGTAAAAAGGCATGAAGGTTTCTTAGATTCGTTTGGGTCAAGTGTGCGCACTTGTAATTTAGGACTTACTGCAGTTACAATACAAGAGTTAGGAAAATAAAGGTGTTACTTTCAAATAAAACATTTTTTTGGCTCTAAATTTAAATAGAAACGAAAACTTAAAACAAGCGGTTTTTTCCTATTAAGAATAAACGATCTGAAATCGGACTCTTATTGCGGGTAATTGTGCGCACCCTTATGGGGCAAGTAGAGTAGACGCACATGGGGTACGGGAGTGCATTGCTCGTGGTCAAAATAAATATAATAATAAAAAAGATTCTTTATTAAAAAACCTACACATGTTTGAATTGTATTGTTGATATTACTTGTATATGTATTATATATGTAATTCAGCAGCACTGAAATATAAAATAAAGCACGTTAAAAATATTATACAAATAAATGAACGAAAATATTACAGAGACGGGGCAAGAGTACACATGCGTACACTTATCCGCGCACACTTTCCCCAGTGCACTGAATTGCAAATGAGTGATCGCAAAATATTTGAAACTGAATATAACTTGAAAGTTTTTTAGAAACACAAAGTAACGTAAATCTGTTCATAATTGAAAAAAAAATATTTTTTTCCATCCTCTAAGTAAAAAATACAGGCGCTACACTGTTTTCTGAGATACAAACATCTATGGATGTAAAGTAAACAACAAAAACAGTTTTTTGCTTAAAAAAGGTTATATTACCAGTGAGTCCAGTGACCATGGAGCTCTACTGCGACTCGAATACTTTACTCTCTATGCTACACAAGGTGAAATGAATACTCTGAAATCGTTTCCAATATTTTTATTTTTAAATTAGTGGCAGTGAAGGTTTGTCGGGTAGGTTGAGTCGCAACTAAATCCTGCCTCGGGCGCGTGCCGATTGATATACGAAAATAATTCTAGGCACGTTACGTAGCCCTGTTGACACCGTTCTAAATTAAATAGGGACCATCTTTGAAGCTCTTCAACGAGAATTCAAACCTTGAGTTCTATGACGTACTTACTTTCTTAACTATGTTATAAAGAACAGTGCCAATATCTATGTGCTCGAAGCTATAAAAGCTTCTCTCACATTGGATTAGTTTTTGTTTTCGAATTACAGAAAAAAGTAAAGGTAAAAAGGGTGAGCCTTTTTGAAATTCGTTTTATCGAGTTAAAATAAAATTGAACAAAATGTGGACTCTAAAAAGCTTCAAAGATGATTTTACAATAAATCCAAATTAAATCTAGATAGACAATTTACAGTTAAATTGGCACTTGGATTAATTCCACCAATTCCAACTCGGGAAATATTATTTTTGGTGATTTATTTTGATTTATGTTGCGTATTTTATGAATTATTTTTTACCTACGATGGTGAGTTCTCTATGTCTACTTTGTTAAGTATTCGCTAATTCCTATTTTACCGTATTTAGGAGGTAAGGTGAACTTTGAGTTGTTCTTGATAATATGTAATAAAACCAAATAATGAAATAATAGCATCGTAGTTAACCAAATCTGTAAACCACAGAGCAGGAGCGTAAATATGTTACCTAAATGGGGATGAAGAAAAGATATTTTTGTTAAGGTTTTGCGAGTATTGCTTTAAGATAATCCTCTTGAAACCAATATGGACTTCGCCCTCGTAGAGACCGTAGAGGGATTTCTAAAGTATTTTCGTTTCGAACCACACTTTGTTAGTAATTTTCATTGTTATTCAAGTTAATTCATCCCCGGTAGTTTTCATAAATTACGCAACAATTTCACTAAACTATAACAAGTTTGGCACGTAACGTTTGAACTCAGGCGCTTAGTGCTACACTGTCTATAAGGACAGTCCACTAACACTGATTACGTATTATTAGATGCGCAGACGCCGTCGCCGTTGACGACGGAAGGTGACCACTATACAAATGATTATCCGCCTATATAAAAACGATATTCCAAAAACGAAATTTCCCCTCGAAAATTCTGTCGTTTACACTGTATTAGATATCTAAACGTTAAGTGTGTATATTTCGAATTATGTACCTACGTAGCATAGGTACGAATACTGTATCCCGCTCACACTGGACTAGCACGGCTGGCCGGGACTCCGGCAGTCAAATCGCAAGCTCCTCATTATAACAACAGAAAGATAAATATTCATCGATAGTGAATATTTTAGTAATTATATTACGGTTGGTGGAGTCTCTACCACAGCCTGTTACAACGAAACTAAAATATGGGTTTACCGTTCTGCTATCACAATGGAGACTTGGAGAGGTACTAATTGTGTTCAATTAGCAAAAGTTGAATCTGCCAGGGCCTTGCGAGTCGCTATCCCGGTGGTAACGGGTTCGCAATAATATTGTTACGGCTGTCCAGCAGTAGAGACTTAACTTAGTTCAGTCGGAACTAGTGCTCAAGGGGCAACGAGTGCTGGACGCGGCATTCGTGTATGCCACCGCCCGAACTCGGCAACAATATCATTGGTCTGCCGTGTCAACTCTGCTTATCTCTCGCCATCTTACACCTTCTGAACACATTGAACCGTCGCGGCCGTAACACCTTAAAAAGCCTTACGGGGCTTATTTTGAATGGAACGTGACGTTTATTCGTTTATTAAAACTTGGAGCAATACATACTAATAATGCCTTATTTTGAGCAAATACACTATACGACCTCATCAACACATCCCACTTCTGCACTGAGCTCGAAGACGGCTAAGATATGCACAGTTGGCCAGACACGATCGACGCCCGCGTGTCACCGCGCGGCTACAAATTATTAATTTTACATTTTACTTCATCATTATGCTATACACATAAAAATATTAAAACGGAACTCGATAACTAGATATAATATAATGTGCGTAACGGACCGGAACACCATAGACTCACCAATAGCTGTACAAACAAACGAACAAATAGCTACAACCATCAAGAAAAATCACAAGTTCAACCGCCGAGACTCACTCACTCATAAAAAACATTCGTAGACATATTGCAGTGGACTTGAATTACTTTCCCCTCATTTCTCTACATCATACAATAGTACATTGTTCTACAAAGGCAAAAAGTAGGTTATTGCAAACTAATTGACAATTTAATTTAAGCGCCACGAGTTTGCAATAACCTTGACGCCCGTGTAACACACGACATTTTTCAATACATTTGTGAACAAAACGAGGCATTTTTCTGTGCGTGCGACAATTTGAAATTTTTACAACTTGTATTCACTCAAAACGGGGAGCAGAATCTCAATTCTTCATATGTTCTTTGTAATAGACATGTATTACAAAGAAAAAGAAAGCAATAAAAGCGTTTCGTAATAATTTCTTATTGCGGAAGTGCAAGGATTTTTCATAATTTAAATTAAATGAAAAGTCATCCTCTAGAACACATTCTGCCATATGTTAATTTGTATAAGTAAAATGTCAAAATATTTAAAATATTCTGTCATAGAATAAAATAATTTTATTGTAATTTATGATAATTCAGTAAATTCATTACTTAATTCTTTATTCATTCATTCTCTTACGTAGTTTAATAATATAATATTTATTTCAAACATAATCTTTTGGTAGTAGATATACTTTAATTAGACACGTAGAAATAAAAATAACACTCCTCCGCACGAGTGAGGAAAAGTAAATCCTTTTCCGCACTGCGGCAGAAAAGTATAACTTTCGGAACGCTTCACCGCCGTAGAAAATACATCTTATCGAGCAACTGTATTGAAAAAAGTATCCTTCCCTTTGTAAGGGACGAAATCCTCAACCAACAACTTTACAAAGATCGTTTCTAATTACCAACTATGTATCACTAAAACGCGACGACCCGTCTAATAAAAGCAACAGTTTGGTAATCTAGCCCACTGCATATCTCCGTGTACAAGTGTCCGTGCAATCGCACAAACACTGGTAAATCGTAACCGTGCTAGATACACCAAAGCCGCGCCTCGGCCGTCCATGGCGCACGTGGCGGTCGGCGCGGCGACAGCAGCGAGCTCACGGGGACACGGTCATTCTATACTCGTCAATTTTAAAAATATACAAACAATCAAATATCTTCACAATGAACATTAAAAGCGGCGCAGGAGTTGTACACAAATATACCATTTGTACAAGAAAATGTCTTTTCGAAAAAGCGTCACCAAATAACTCCTGGCCTTGATTCATCCCCTTCCCTTTAAAAATTCCTTCAACTGCTTTCAAAATGAGCCACTTGTTTCCGAACATCAACACAAACTTCACAATCTCTTCTAAATCTTAGTAGCGATAGTATTTGAAAATTAAGTAAAGTTAGGACAAGTCACAATATCAAACCTTAAAACCAAAGTATAATAAAATGTATGTTTCAAAACATCAAAATGGAACGAAAGGCGGTTCATGAAAATTAGATTTTGGATTTCACAGACAGAACTGTGGAATGGAACAGGGGGTGTTCGTATGGCGAGGATGTTCATTATGACTATAATATGAGGTAGCAAAGTTGAAGTAGAGTGTTTCACGAACCGCTCGTCAAAGAGAGGAAATGAAAGTGATACAGCAAGAAACACACACTTAGTACACCAAAAATACAACCACTCGTGTCGGCGGCTAACAGTGCGCTGGCAAGGGGGCGTCCGCCGACTTTCGGGGGCGGGCGCGCATGTGCCAGACACTCCTGCGCCAGTACGAGCACTGCCCAGTGCGTGCTGCCACGTGACGATCGTATGAATACCGTAATATATACCTTAAATAACTATACAATTTATGAGGCCCCGCGGGGCTGTAAAACTTATTAAACTTCATTTATATCATACATTATAATGTGGCTGAACCACTCACGTATCGGTACTATACAAAAATTAAAAACATTATACAATAATGCTACGATACCATAGAGCTAGTAAATACAAGAATCAACTTACACTACCAATACCTCATTTGGCACGTTGATGTTACGATGCATGTGTGACGGTATAATGATTCGTATTTTAGTTACAACCTCTTTTATAACATTCAATTTATTAATTAATATAGGTAATTTTATATATCTATTATATAAATGTGTGCTCTCTCTGAAACATCGTCTTGGCTATGCCTGGAAGCAGGCGCTGTATGCCCAGACTGCCGAGCCCCGCGCCCACCGCCGTTGGCCGGCGAGTGGGGGCGCGGCACCCGAGGTTATTTCGCCCCCAAATCGGCTGTACTCTGACTCCGCCGATAATATATACTTTTATTAATGAATACATGGGCAAATGTTTATATCTTCATTCACATAATTTACGCGTGAACATGTCCAACACCACGTGTTCAAGTGACAATAAAGTCCTCGGGTGTTGAGGCGCTATTAGAACCTTTGCACAATGTACAACACAGGATTCTCAGATTCCATTGATACAAATCCCCGAACCTATTACCCATTAGGCCAACTAATGAACATAAGGTAGTGCAGCGTGAGACCGGCGTGTGGTGGCGCGCACACCTCGCGAGGAAGTTAGGTACGTGACAGGCGTCTCGAACATTTCGGAAATAATTCAAAAGCGCATGGCAGCCAATGGTTCCTTGAAATGTTCACCATAAATCGTCGCTAACACGTGTATAATTTATTATTTACCTAAGAACATTGACGACAATCTCGATGATAAACATTTTTGCTTATCGCGTCCGGCCGCGCTGCTCGCCGGCTCGTACACTTAAGTAATCGTCTTAGTAATCGATAGGAAGTCAGTTTTACTTATACGATAATTTCCGCTATTTATTAACTAGGACTCGGCGACGCCTCGAGCCCGTCGGAGGCCGAGGCGGAGCCGCGACAAATTTCATATATAAGTCTCTAATTATTCACTGCAATGTGCTATTCCTTCTGAGCTCTTCTCTGGCGATACGGCCATCTTTCCTGCTGCGGTGCGGCTTGGGCGCAGCATGTTTCGAGACGGTCCACTGCTGTCCTTGCGGGCCTTGAATGTGATGATCTGGCATGTGCGGAGCCACCGGCAACTGCTAGCGTGCGGCGATGCGACAGATCGCGTGGCGCACGGCGGCCGCGGCTGCGGGCACGGCGGCGCCGCACAGGCCGGATCAGAGCCTGTCCTCCTCCTCTTCCTCTTCACCCTCGTCACCGGCCTCCTCGTTCTCCTCCCGGTAGCCGGGATGCTCGCTAATCGCGTAATAATTGCCGTTGTAGATGACACCTAGCTCGCGTAGCGCGTCGCCACGAATCGTCGCCTTGATAGTCCAGTTGTAACAGTCGTCCGACTCGGACTCGCGGTCCAGTCGCTCCACGTCGAGGATTTTGGAACTGAGCCGCTCCAGGATGATGCCGATGTCTTTGATGGTGAGGTGTCGCTTCTGATCAACACTCAACTGGTCGATGAGCAGCAGGAACTTCTCAGAGGTGACGGCTTCGTCCTCGACGAGGGTGTTCTCGGTCTCGCTCTCCGAGGAGTCACGCTCGCCGCGGCGTGCCGACTCGGCGTCGAGAAAGCGTACGTGGCCTTTAGGCCGACCCTGCGGCGAGGCGCGCGGTTGCGCGTCCTGGATGGGCGAGGTGGCGACGCTCTTGTTGAGCACGGCGATGCGACGGCCCTCCTCGTGCAGCGCGCAGCAGTGGAAGTCGCACTCGTCCTGAGGCGGCGCGCGCTGCTGCGGCGCGGGCGACGCGTGGCCGTGCGGGGCGCGGCACTCGGACGTGTGCGTGTGCTCGACGCTGCCTGACGAACGTGCCAGGCGCGCGCGCGACGCGGGGCCCGGGTCGTCGTGGTTGACGACGGTGATGTGCGGCGGCGGCGGCTGCGGCCGGTCCAGCGACGTCTGGATCACGAGGCTGGGCCGCCGGTCTGGCTTGGGCTGGCGCGAGGGCGACCGCGCAGCCGGTGACGCCGCGGGCCGCTGATCCCAGTGCAGCACCACCGTGACGCGCCCCTTGTTGTCCATGATTTTCCATGAGGGCGTCTCATCGTGCAGCTCCAGCGCGTGAATCGTCTCGCATACTATCTTTGGTATCGCCGATATAGCTGGAAGGTTACATCAAGGGGTGAGTTTTACGGCCCACTCAATGACGGAATCGATTAGAAGCTGATCACTCACCAGCCTTGATGACGTCGACTCCGGTGGGATACCAGCGTTCGCCGGGGCGCAGCAGCAGCAGCACGGTGTTCGGCGGGAGCGTGCGCCAGTAGTCACCGTCTTCGACTTGCGTGCCGTCGCTCTCTAGCACCAGCCGTACCGGCTCACTCGCTCCCACCGACAACTTCTCCTTCCCTGCACAACGACACACACCGTCAACTACCACATTTTCCTCCTATCCTCCTTAGATTTCACAATACCTGTGGGTAGCGTAATACTTATTCGACTTGAAGTTGACCTAAATTCAGTCGAGTGTTTTATTAAAAACGGGTGACTACCCGTTATAATTAAGTATTATATCGTAGGCTAACTAAATCTAAATATTGTATAAAAGTAGGGCAGCATCCGCGCGGCAGTGGCTGTGCAGTTGCGGCAAATCTTATCGAGCTGCGACTTCGGACGCGCCGTGGCTATTCAGTAAGAATAACTTTGATTATATGAAAAAGGTATCACTTAATAACAGTTTTGGGTAATACGATTTTCTTATTACATTACATTCATAATTGTAGGTATATATGTAGTCGAATGAGAAACTATCACACCACCAATAAAAGAAACTAATAACCATTACTCTATAACATTTAAAATAAGGTGTACTGACCTCTGTGTATGAGCTCCTCGAAGCTAGTAACCACCAATCCCTTCCTCACGTTCCGCGAGCTATCCCATATCTTAAAAGGCCTCTTTCCTCTAACCTCCTGCAACAGCATACAAACACATTCTTGTAGCTGCCACTCTACTTTACAGTAGGATTGTTAAAACATTTCTTTTTGCATTTTTAAATACAAAACTATCTATATGTTACTTTGACACTTCTAGCTATCAAAATCAACGCAAAATGCCTATCACGTAGCAGTTCAAGCATTACATTGCCTCGGTTACTAGAGCTACGGCGTAGCATTACACTCGTAGTGCGTAGCACTACTCCGTAGCGGCTGCACTAGTGCAGCGGTGCAACATGGGTGCAACGCCCGCGCGACCTCTCGCGCCCGTGACATGCCCCCGCGCACCGCGCCCAACCCCTGCGCCCTCACGCACTGTGCTTTGACCCACTGACATCGCCGCCCTGCACGATCTTTAATCTAGACAGGGAGCAACTTTTTAGATGTTAAAACAAGTTTTCCCGCTGACTCTATCCTACCGCCTCCCGAGATGATTCCCCGACCGCCTGTCGCGAGCGACGATTGATACGCGCCTATAAAACTTCGCGCTGCACGCGCCCCGCGCCGTAAAAAGCCCATTAGCCGAATGTCCACGCCGCATGCCGCCAACCGGCGACTCACCGCTGCCTCCGATAACTAATATCGACGACGCTAATATTACCTCCTGCTGTATCTCCACTATCATTTTCACTCCACTCCGTAGCCTCACCGCGTCACAATCTCACTCGCAAACTTATTCTATATAAATTGATAAATATACACAATAGAGTATAAAAATAATAGTTTTAGTGGTTGTGTAGTGGGTGTGCAAGGAGAGAGGTGACGGTGCGCGGTGCGCGCGGGCGGAGCGCCGCGGCCGCACTGGGGCAGGCGCGCCGTGACCGGGTCGCCGCGGCCCCCCGCGCCTCTCTTCCGCGCGTCCCGCCTCTTCCTCCCTCCTCCGACCGCGCCCGCACTGCAGCGAGGCTCCTGATGCCGTAAGATGGCCAAATTAGCTTCGCCTGTGATGCACTTTTACGTGTAGTCGGCCGATGTATATATGAGACTCATTGCGGCCTCAACGCTCAACTGACTGGCGGAAAGATAACACCCTCGCCTTTAACACATATTTTACATGTGGGAGGGTAATAACTTTTGACGATAGCGTTGGGAAAGAAAGTACTTGGAACTCTTTTGAGTATGCCTGTCGTACATACCGGAATTGTTATTTATAAAGCAAGAACACTTTTGAGCTACGGCCGATAGGCGACGGCGGGGCGTTGCGAAGGAGGACAGCGCGTTTAATCCCTGTAAACACCTTAACCGCATGTGATATAGTGCGGTGTGACCACAGACATCTTACATCAGGAAAACTGTCGTTACGTTAACCTGTATTACATATATGGCGCAATAGTACTTGGCCACCAATTGTCGTTTGTTCGTGAAACTGTGCAAACGACAAGAACGTTATCGCGTAGCAATCGGAAGCTCCAGCAGAGCGTGAAACGTCCGTGGTTTCTATTTCACTTTGGCGACTACGAATATTTCATCATCATCGCAATTACTCCATCAAACCAGATCGTTTACAATTTCTTTATTAATTTTTAGACGAAATTTTGAGGTCAGTTTTTTTTTAAAAAAAAGGTTACAATTATTGAAATTGTTTTTATGACAATTAAATATGAAAATTTCTTATTCTTATTTATATCAGTGAAAGTTATGGACAATATTAAACATTAAGTAATGAAATTTCGTGTTTTATTGTCATAAAATACGCCAGTCATTAATACGCAACTTATGGACGTAGCAACCGTGTTCGGAAATGTACATGGTTTCCAATTTTTATTCACTACATTTGTGTACCGTTTTATCTTTTCCCGAAGAATACTTTTTTGTTTTGTGTTTGACGAGTATTCATTCGAGGCGTTTAAAGTATTGTAATTAGGACTCTCAGAAAGGGTAACAACACAAATAATAACCTGGACACTACGGACACGTATAAATGAAAAAAAAAACATCATCAAACGACTAAACAAAATCAAGTAACGATTGACCTATCCGCGTACACTGAGCAAAAAGAACTTCACGACATTAGCGTGTTGGTGACGTGAGTCACGGTAATATAATTTCATAAGTATGTCATTTTTTGTTGACTTTTAAATTAGAAATCAAAATCTTCTGATGAATACGTGTAAAGCGTCTAGTGCACGTTAAGCTTGACAGTTAAGATGTAAATTCAGTTCTATTTACGATTGGAATAGTCCAAATTCCACAGTGTCTAATTCTTGGTCATAAAAGTACCATTATTTATACACATTAAAATAATCGTTATTTTACATGCAGCTCTTAGAAGCTTCGTCTAATAATAATGAATCTAGACACGCATTAAAATTTAGATAGAGAGAATACTTGAGGAGCTGATTTTGCCACGTACTTCTCGGTATAAATTTTCCCACCCCATATGTTTCTATGAGCACTCATATTAAGGAAAACGTATTGAAGGAAAAAACAAACAACTAAAGTATACCATAAATGACACCACAGAAGAAAAAAAAAACAAAAGCGAATAATAAGAAATAATAAAAAACATTTTTACAAACAAAATTAAAATGTGGTTTAAAACAAAATCATAAACTAAGCAAAACCTTACCTTAAGTGTGGCGCCAGCTGCGGCAACAAAAAATGACAAAATATTTTGTTTCCTAAATTAACAATAATATACTAGACAATCATATCCATTAACTGCAAAATGGGTAATTTCCTGTAACAGAGCAAAGACTTCAAATCCGGGGGCATTAAGTTGAACACCCAGATCATAAACAATTTCGAAAACTTCGTTACATAAATTAGTTCTATCGGGAATTCAAATCAGAAGCTCCTTATTTAGCCGACCTCCCTATTAAACACCGGACGTTAACCCATGGGCTACAGAAATCAAATATATCAAGTATGGATCAAGTTTTGCTGGTGCATTTATTATTTATATATATATATACGAGTATATATATAAATAATAAATTCCCGCATAACCAAGATAGATAGGGAGGGGCACTATAAACAAAACTTATGTAGAAACATATGGGACTACCCCCAGTTACTAAATAAATTTAATATACGTGTCCATGTGAGATAATCTCGGAATAGAGTAATTCCTCTGTTTCCACTGCTACGAAAAACAGTTTTTGGACTAAATTCTCCTATCTCAAGATTAAGCAAATTGATAAATGAACATAGTAATCGACTTGATATTCACAGTAACTCACCTAGCAGGATACTCCTAATTAATTAAATATGTATTTTTTTGTTTTTTCCTTTTTTTGCTCTGACATTTACTCAATAAGCAGGTACTTACTTTTATACTTGTGTAGTTTTTATATTATATTATGTTGTCAATTTTACAGTGTTTTTACTAATTGCAAGTGATATTTAACTGTAATTGTTTAATAAGGTGTTCCTAGATTACGTAATTAAGAGTGTAATAATGTTATCAAATGTTGGCAAATCTTAAATACATAAATCTAGCAATAACTTTGAAGGAAAACATCGTGATGAAACCTGTACGTCGAAAGTTCATGTACGAAGTCTCCAACCCGCAATGGGCCAGCGTGACGGACAATGACGTAAACCCTCCCATTAGAGGAAATCCGTGCCTAACTGTAGGACATATAACGGATTGACGATGTTAAGACAAGGACTTAGACTATACCGTTAAATTATATGCATCTAGGTGGGTCGGATAAACAGAAATGACCTATGTAGCAAGGTAGTTCCGTTATGGTAATGCACATTTTTTTCAACGTTCTCATTTAGTCCGTTATGACGACTACAGCGGTCCAGCTTTAAACGCTGTATGCTGGCAAGACCATTCTGGAAATCAACTGTTAACTGCTAAGGTCAGAGTGTTCTGTCGAGTTCTTAGGTTTTCGAGATTGCAATTGTTACAAATAGGAAATGAAACAATTTGTTCGAATTTGTGTTTTTCAAACATTCCAACGTTTCGGGCCCTTTACAGGTCCCGTGGTCACGGGTGACTCGGTCACAACTACGGACTACGAATGTACACGATTTAGATCCAAAAAAATAGTTTCATTTTCATAGTGTTCTGGATAATAATTTCGTTATTCAAGTACTTTTAATACAGGGAATTCCATAGTTTGAGATCAGCTAATTAGTGTGGTTGTCTAGCGCATATTATCTACCTATAACTATAACTTTGGCGGTGGTGTAGATATATGTAATTAGTTATATGTAGTTTAAACTATTCATTGAACACCTACTCTTCTTGGAATCTTGAGTAGCATTAACATTTACTTAACATTATAATGTACATAAAACAAAAAAATTCGCATCAAACGCGGTGTGCGAATGTAGGTGTAGAGCATGTAGGTTGCGTAACATTACTTTAATGTCATGTTTACCGGCGTACTGCTCGCCCACGACGCTATCAAAATTTCAAAGAATATTTGTAACACCCACTGATTGTGTGTGAACCATGTTTTATTAATTCTATTATTAATTACACGCTTTAATGGCGAAGGGGAGCTCACAATTTATGAATGAATGTTTGAATGTTACGAATGAAAGACTCACAATCCACACTGAGCCAATCACCACTAGAGGAGATCTAGATCGTGTGATGACTGTTTGTTTAAATATCTATCTATATTTTGTCAAGACTAGATCGAGATATTTTTATGTTTTTTTTATGATATCAAACGACTGGACGAACAACGCCTATCCATGACAGTTGCTTTAAATCGCAAAATTCGGAGAGGCATTGCTACTACGCCCGTCACCTTGAGACATAAGTTGACAAGTCCCGTGTGCCTGTAATTTCACCAGCACCCTTCAAAATTGGAACGCATTACTAATAAAGCAATTACTGCTTGACGGCAGAAATAAGTGAGGTAGGAGGTAGGAGCTCTACTTCTATTAAAATATGCTATAATATCAATATTGATCATGTGTTTCCAGGACAGCAATTAGAAATTGATAGTATAGGCCTTTAAAGTAGGTTTTTACATACTTAATTATCAATAGCAAGATTCAGTTCTATACTAATAGGTCTTGTACTAAATAAAAGATTTGTCACAGAATGGAGTAACAGCAATAATAAAATGTCTCTGTCTCTTTATACAAATTCCAGAATGATGTTAATTTACGGACAATGAAGGACATTATTATAAAGTCGTGCATTATTACAACAGCGACGACGAAATCGAGAAAAAAAGAACTACATTAGGGTTGACAGACCTTAACTATTCTGAAAACAACGCCATTATTTCGAGGACGAAACTTTTACACAGGGGATAAATTATGCTGATGAAGCTTTTATCATGGATACAAATAGACATTCATTTCAACATTCATACTTAGAGACACTTTTTGTTAGGCTGACAATTTAAAAAGTGGTGATAGGTTTTAATTTAGACAAAAATAATGAACATTATTTTACTTGCCATTACGAGCTATGGCAGAATATCAGCAAGGGCTTGTATTCCTCAGTCACATGCCCATTTCAACGTTTATATTTCTAATTATTTGTATTACATTTTTTTAAAATTCTGAATCGTACCATGGAAAGTAGTTACTAGTACAGCTTGTCTAGGCCGCGTTACGGGGCGTAGCGCTGACAACTCCACCGCTACGAAGCGCGTTGCTACGATACTAACTAGTTTTTTGTTATACATTTTATTCAATTTATTCATAAACAGTTATTAGTTAGTCTAAAATTATATTAAGACTTTTATATTAGGCGTTTTCTTAGACTTCGGTTCATTTAAAACTGTTGGTTTAATATGAGGGCTGCTTAGAAGAGCATATCCGGCAGGGAATACAGTTATTTGGATTAATTGTACTTTACAATACGGAAGGT